ATGCCTTTGATGTCAAGGGTGAAATTACCTTTTGTTGGTACAATTCACCCACAAAATAACATGTTTGTTATGGGTGTGAAGCTCAAGGCTACAGGTGACTCAGAAGTTATTGACAGCTCTGGACAGTTGTAACGTTGTTTCTTGGAACTTTAGTTGGTGTTTACTTAGTAGTTGCCGTCTCTCTGACAGATCAAGTTAGTTGTTCAATTGACCAGACAGCATTTTAAAACATGTAGTTCTATATTACTTTGTACATGTTAAGTACCTTGTGCTTTTCCAGAAATGATGACACTGTTGCATGAAATCTAAATTTAAACATAACAAACACTTCATTGCTCACTGAGATCTACTGGAAGCTTCGTCAAATAAAATTATTGCAAAATGAATTGTGTAAAAACAGCATGTACTCAGTACTAATCAATCAGAATGTAAAAATTATCCACCCTGGATTTTATTATAAACAATTGCACCTTGACTACATCTCAGGTTTGTATAACTTTGGAGAATTCTCCCAACCCCCCGAGTGTTTAGACTAGGCTAAGTAAACACGGAAAAGGTGCTCTATTGCTTTTATAAAATAATTCTCAAAAATACATGTGAATATAAAACGTCACAACCATGTTAACATAGCCTCATCTAAATACACCCATCAACTAATGAGAGCATGCGTACTAACTCAGTTACTTTATAAAAATCAATTTTAACCTTGGAAGAAACCAGAGAAAGAGAATATAACTTTCAATTCTTGAATTTATCATGTACAGTATGGCGCATAAGGCTGTAAGAGATTAAGGGCAAGGCCAATGAAGTTCACTCACATTATTTGGTTACTCAGCCTACATCTACATGTATCCAGTATTGGTATAAATCTACTAGCGTTCTATCACGAATGCTGTTCTCTGATTGACTACGCTACTCACTATCTATTTTGGGATAAATAATGAATAGCGTAGCAGTGTACTCTTGTTGACAAAATGATGGCTACTTCCTGGCATTTTCAAAGTGTCTGTGGAGAGGATTTAGGTAATGTTTTGAATGACTAGTAGATTTACATGTATACTAAAACAACTAGATTATTCGCTCCCAATTTCTATGCGTGATAGTTGACGAGGGCACAGCCCCAGTCAACTATCACGTGATAGAAATCTTGAGCTCATAATCTAATTGTTTAATCAAAAATATCATCATGCAATGGAGTGTGGCTGTTTACTGCCTTGTTGCATACCTGGGCCAGAGGTAGAGTTTTCTAACAAACAAGTTCTTCATCACTTTCTCCACTTGAAAGAAACCAGTAGTAAAAGCCTGAGGATTATCTGAAAAGGCTTTGATGAAACCATTCTACAAGAGATTAAATAAATCATAACTTTACATAAATAGAGAGGGGTTTTTCAAGCAGGTAGCATCAACCAACATCAATAAACACACTATAAGAGATCATACTCGATCAGTTTTATTTCTCTCCTTACCCTTCCCCCTCTAAACGATTGCTAGGTTCACATGCAAGGACTGTTCAGTTGATACAAATAGTTATCAAGGATATTCAAAACAATTTATATAATAATCATATGCAAAATATTTCCTTGGGGGATTGGGAGTATCATTATAAGTTATGCAAACCCTTAGATTCATCTCAGGTTTGCATAACTGTTAACAAGCCCCCTTGTGTTTAAACGAGGCTATGAAAACACAGACTATTGCTTACATTTTAAATGGAATGCAGGGCCTTTAATGTAGCCTTTTATATTACAGGGTCTACCTACCCATTATAAGCTCTTTATAGAGGCTGAAAGCATGACTCATAAATCAGCAAAGTAAAGATGCTTACCTTCAGTTTGTAAAAGAATGATATCAATTTATTAATAATTTGTACCCAACCAACAAGTTTCGTGGTAGGTAATAACCTTGCAAAATTAAACTAAACATTGCATGTAATTTCTATGTGAAAATTTTGGTAAAACAATGATATCAATTTATTAATAATTTATTAATGATATTATTTCATTGTACCTTGTTGTTTTCTCTGTAGAGTCGTAATATAAAAGCCTCTTGGCAAGATTCAATGATTCTATCAATTGGAACAAATAGAGAAATCAATGAATCCTGTTCTTGACATGCAACAGTCAAACATAGTACAAACTTGTACAGACAGTAGTTTAGTGACTAGATATAGTACAAGTTTAATCCTGGTGCATACCAAGAAAGAATTCACATACTTATGAGCACGATAAACAACAATTCCTGTCACCAGATGAATTGGCAGCTTCTTGGTCAACATATCTACCACCAAGATTCTTGACGTGATGAACAGCACACCTCCACTAAGGTAAACAGACTCTCTGCAACAAGAACCAACAATTTATCATTCTCTTACAGTACTATCAAAATGCTGGGAGAACACACCATGTGGTCAAAGCAATGAACAGAGCAGTCCAAGTTCAAGACTGGTTGTCCTATGTAGACTTTTAAGCAAGGCACTTGTAAGCATGTATATCAGACTGACTCAGGGTACTTCATTGCTCCATGTATCTCTCTCCAAAAAAATTTGGGTTTCCAGCAAATTACATGTACTCATGTTGTGGTTCAATTTTACCCTTCTCTTGTGAATCATCGTTCCTGTCAAACCAGTGTCATCTAGTTGGAGAAAAACATTGGCCCGGGAGAACCACGTAAATTCCCATTCCCTATCTAGATTAGCCATGTGGCCAGCAAGGTTGCTCTGATAGTGTAGTGGTGATCACATCAGACCGGTAATCAAGGGGACGTGGGTTCAAATCCCGCTCAGGGCATAAAAAGTGTTTCTTCCAATGAAAATGTCATTCAGAAGGTGTGCATCCTTGGTTCCTTCATTAACTTCATATATATACATGTGTATGACAATGAAATATCAATATAAAACAAAGTTAAATACCAGAATGTGCCAAGGGTAGAAATGAAACACAACATTTAAACAGGCAAAAATCTGACAAAATCTGACTGCATTTGTTAAAAACCTACGATAAACTAGCATCCAATTAAGCCTGGGAGCAGCTGAATAAATATTCTTCTCACCAATATTGCCGGCAATATAATCTAACATTTACTAAATGTAGACATGTTGAGAAACAGGAAGCAACAAATAAAAAAAAAATTTGAAACAATCCTGAATATTAGAAAGTAGAAAAAAATAAAGGTAAAAACTCTGGAAAGGTAGCTTATCACAATTTATACTTTGTGGCGTTACTAGTATTTCTGGTGTAACAGTATTCAATGGGCAGGTACATGTATGTTTTGCAGGTTGCAGATTGCAGGTTGAAAAATCACTTTTGAAGTCCGAGTGAGTCTACTTAGCACTTTGGTTAGCCTGAATAGCACTCTGGTTAGTCTAAATTAGCCTAAGTTGCTTGCAGTTTATACTGGGGTTTATTCATCTTCAACTCAAATAAACAAGTCGTTTCACCCTGCAACATGCAACCTCAGCAACCTGCAAAATATACCTGCCAATTTCAATTAGGTTCCATTTCTCAAATTGCCAAATTTTGGGAACATGCCCCATTGATTCTGCAACCACAAGGCACCAGCCACG